AGAGAGAGAGAGAGAGAGAGAGAGAGAGAGAGAGAGAGAGAGAGAGAAAGGAGAAGGGAAAGGGAAAAGGAGAAGGAAATCGAGGGAAAGGAAAACAAAATTGAGTCTCTAACCACTGGAGAGGAAGTGAAAAAAGTAATGTGTACCGCCCCAAATTGAATCTGGATCTGGAAAAGCAAAAGGAGGAACCACTTTATGAAAGACATAAAAATATGAGGAAATGGAAACCATGAGTGAAAAGATAGGAAATGTGGAGAAAAGATCTGAGGGAACTGCTTCTGTCTGAGTGACAGCCGCTCCGGGAGAAGGGACACATGGAGACAAAGCAGAATTGACTGACTTCAAAGGGAAGACGGCGACGAGCTGAAGGGAAACCTTGTTTCAATAAAATGGGTGCCTGGAGTGATTGATGAGGGTGACGCCCAAGTTGAGATCTCTGGGCAGAATCCTAGGATAAAGAGAAATTTTGCTACCTTTCCTATCCTCTATTATCCCCCCTCCCCTCCCCTCCCATCTTCTCTCTCTACCCCATCTACTATAATTCATTTCTCTCCTTAATATGGCATCATGTAAAAATGTGGATGTGTAACTGATGTGATTCTGCAATCTGTATTTGGGGTAAAAATGGGAGTTCATAACCCACTTGAATCTAATGTATGAAATATGATATGTCAAGAGCTTTGTGATGTTTTGAACAACCAATAAAAAAAAAAAAAGAGAGAGAAATTTTCACAGGATTCTGCCCATGGGTAGAGTTGCATATGAGGGAAAGAGAGTCCACCATCTTGAGCTGCTCTTCTCTCTAAGGAAGGTAGACAACAGTGGAGCCATATTTTTAAGGAAAAGGGACTGGGCATCAAAAGATCATCCGTATTTGATGGTGAAAGAAAGACACGGCTGTCTATTGAAGGGTACAGAAGCCACCCCGCCCCCATGCCCTCTTCAGGAATAGTGTTTTAAACAGTATCCTCACCAGATGGGAACTAAGTCAGAACAAAGACGTCCAGGTAGGGGAAGCCTTAGAATGCCAGGAATGTGGCCCTGACTTCCTTCAAGGCAGGGGTCAACCTAGAGAGGTGACATTGACTGTGAATAGTAATTGAAGGGCAAAGGAAAGTCTCTTAATTAAAACACATTTCTATTGCTACATAACAAATTTCTACACACTGGTATTAAGGCGACTTCAAATGCCTTTTCAGATTTTTTTGTCTAATTGTTCCGTGGGTTAGATGATAACCTAGGTTCCTTCGAGGTCCAGCATCTCAGAGGATAGAGTGAAGGTGCTGGCTAGGCTGAGCCCTCCTCTGGGGCTTGACTGCGGACAAGCTGCTGGATCCCCTGCAGCTCAGGGGCAAATTCACATCCTCGTGGCTGTAGAATTGACAATGGCCTGCTCCTTAGAGGTCCACAACAGTGAGAGCCATGCTCCTTCCTCCCAGCTCCCGGATTCAGGGGCGGCCTGGACCCTCTTACGGGCACACCCTGGCTAGGTCAGGCCACTTAGGATAACTCAGAGCCAACCTATTAGAACCATAAGTGCGTCTTCAAAATCTCTTAACTTTGCCATATGCTTTTGATTAGAAGCTCAGACCCGAAGGGAGGGAATTACACTGGGAGTAAGGTCACCCAGAGTCTGTCTGCCACACCTGCTCTTAAGGACAGATGTAAATAAGCAAACTAAAGTTTTATATTATTTTAACCAAACTCATGACTCACAGAGAGTGGGATAGGAAGGCCTGGGAGGCACATGGGTGTGTTCAATGGGCAGGTAAAGTGTTGAGTTTTGCTAAATTGATGAGGCTTGGGGTGACTGTCCTCAGGCGAGCATCCACTGCTAACTGGTACTTATTTGGATGGGAAGAGGTAGTGTGTCGGGGGTTGGGCTTTAACTTCCTACTTGACTTCTGTGTGTTTTTAAGTGGTGATTTTTACTGCTTTATGCTTAAAAAACTTCAACAAATGAGAATATAAACTCCTAAAAAGAAGGAGTGCAAGGAGAAGTTGGACAATGATAACTAACAACATTTAGAAAAGGGAAAATGAGGTGGCACTTCTTCCAGATGTTAAAGCTGATTCTAATACTACGATGATGATTTCATTCACACGCTCCTGGTGCAAGAATGGACAGACCACCGAAAGGAGAAGTGGCCCAGAAACCATTGTACACAGCTATAATGTACGGCTCTCAAAGGGGAATCACTGTGAATGAGAAGGGAATTAAAAAATGGTGCTAGAAAAAAAAAATCGAGCTGCTAAATAAAAAACAGAATGTTCTGGCACTTCCACATTAATTTTATATGAATAATAATGATGAAAAAAAAAAACACCCTCTTCTTTGACTTCACATCCTCCTCTACTCACTTAAAGTCTTTTCTACTCTTTTCCTTTTTCCAGCAGGTTCCTGAGAGCTGGCCCAGATGGTGCTTCTGTTTCTTTTTATTCTTTCCTTACCCTCTTTTGCTGTGCGTGTCCATGCAGTGGCCAGAGGTATTCTGGGAAATGCCTGGTGCACTACTGCTACTGGGAGGCTCCTCTGGGACATCATCGGCTTCCCCTTCCCGACAGTATTGACAGTATTCCTGCCCTTTGCCCAACTGGCTGCAAGGACTATATACATAGCCCTGATCCCTGTTCTGCAGCCCATTCCTTCCACCTGACTCTTCCCTCCCACCCTCAGTCTTTGTCCCCTGATATCCTGAATGCTCTGGCCCCAGAGTTTCCTTCTTGGCCCCTTCCCCTCCCATTTTCCTTCACCTGCTTCTGTGTCTGTGCCTCATCCACTGTCTGAAATGCTCACCCAAACAGATACCTTATGACATTACCCAGTATTTGCCTAATATTTGCCACGACCATTATATTTAGCCTTGTATTCAGGCTTTCTGGCTCCAGAGTTTCCTCTCCCCTTCACTAAAATCATAATCACTAAAGGCAGTAACTATACAGGGTTTTCCCTTTTTTCTTTTTTTTATACTGGGAATTGAACCTGAGCTGCATCCAAAGCCCTTTTTATTTTGAGACAGGGTTTTGCTAAGTTGCTAAGGCTAGTCTCAAACTTGCAGTTCTCCTGCATCAGCCTCTGGAGTCCCTGGGATTACAGATGTGTACCACTTGCCTGGGTTTCTCTTTTTAAATTCTCTGCAGCTCTTAGTATGGTGGTTTGTACACACACAAGATGCTCAATAGCTATATTTACTTGAATTAAGACTAAGGTTCAACATATCAATTAAATAAAGGAAGCCCCCTAGAACATTTTCCTAAGATCAAAGTTTCCATTGTGGATAATCACATTGTGAGAAAGCCAGCTGCATTGAGGGCCCCAGAGCACCTCCCCTCAGACTCACCCAAACGTCGGTACTGCCTTCAACACTAGTCCAAGCTGCTTGGTGTTTGGTCTGATAGGACTTTGGTCATGTTCGTAACCTCAGATTGTTGAAAAGGTCAAGGTATGGCCTCATCTTGGATTAATTTTCATTTCTGGCAGAGAAAAATCACATGCTCAACCACATATCTATTTGAAATTTTTGGTGACGAGTTTGAAAGAAAACACTTCAATTTTTTTTTTTTTTTTGAAGAACACACAGTATCTTTATTTTTATGTGGTGCTGAGGATCGAACTCAGTGCCTCATGCATGCGGGGCAAGTGCTTTACCACTGAGCTACAACCTCAGCCCCTCAATTTTTAATTATAAAAACAACCTAACAACAGTAAAGATTTTAGAAAAAAGAGAAAATTTTAAATTGCTCATAGTTTTTAACAACATAAAGCAAGGGCAATAATTTTATAGCTTCCATTTCTTTTAATATCCATGCTTTTACAGTTGTAATTGAGTATAACGACAATTGTGTACTATGCCCATACCTAACATGTTATTAGATTTGATCTCTATCTTGCTAAGAAGGCTGACTAATGTGCCCATGAGGGACAACTTATCTGTGCCCTTGTTACTTGGATCCTTTGATGGCTCGTACTGATTGACTCTAATGGGCTGTTATAAATAATCTTGAGTGAACATCTTTATTCATATAATTTTCATAGTTTCTGGATTAGATGGGGTGCGAGTGTCTCAGAAATGAGATTACCGGGTTATAGTTTTGGTCATGTCCTTTTTACTTGTTTGATTTTTTGAGGCTATGGTTGAAAGAATGTGCACTCCTCCTTTGTTTGATGAGGTTGTTTCTGTGCCTAAATCTGTCTGATCAGGAGCAAGTATTCTGGGTATCTGGTGTGCCCAGCCTTCTCCTGTCCTGGGATAGACAGAAATGACTATGGCAAGGCTCCTTCCTTCTTCAGACTACTGTTTTACTGGAAGAGCAGGCTTAGGCTGACACAGAATACTGCAGCTAACGTTGAGATGTCGATGGTAATTTCTAGAACAGTCTAGTGAATGTTAAGCTCTGTGATGGTTGGAATTCTGAAAAAGTGTTCATGGAGAAAGTAAATTTGAATAAAATGAGATGATGCTTCAAAGCAAATTTTAAGTACAGAGGATACTTCCGGTTAATTTCCTTTACCTAGCTAACTTTTCCTGGAGATAAAATAATGCTCTTCTGTTTACAAATAGTAATTGTCACTACAGTTGCGATGACACCAAAGATATATAATTGATGCGCTGTTTTTTTTAAAAATTCTATCTCATTTTAATTCTAAAATTAAAGTCAGTAAGGAGCCTGTTGGAATAGAAATCCTTTCAGAAACATTGCTTCTTCATCCCTTAATATTAAAAGTATGAATATTTTATTAGTTTTGACTGAATTGCAGTTTATTTTTGCCTGAGACTAAACACAGGTTTTGTAATGGTGCGTGCCTCGCGCTGTGCCAGCGGGTGATGTGTGTGTCATTTCAGACTTAGTTTGAAGTGCGGTCTTGGTTTTCCCTGACCAAACAGGGTGTTCCTAAGGCAGATTTGGAATTTGGAACAGCTTCTTGCTCCTGGCAGTCTTACCTGAGTGTCGGCCAAAGTATACTGGCCGGCTGTTGTCCCTTTTGAAATGACAGGATTCTGGTGTCACGGCTGTAATTTCTTCCATGCATTAAGATGAGGCTTCTGCTCCAGAGGCCCTCAGAGATTTGTGGGGGCTCAGACAGGGGAACAGAGGAGTTATGATTTGGCACAGCAACCTCTGTAACAGCGGGGATCCCAGCTGCTCTCAGTGGGCCATGGCGGAAGCTGCTCTGTCTTGTCAGAGTTCAGTTTCCAGGGAAGGCACGTTTGCCTTGGCCTTGATGGACGAGGGCTAATGTGCCTGGTGGAGTCCAGGTTGGGTGGAGGGTGAAGGACGACGTGCTTGTCAGAGGAAGCAGGATGCCCAGGACAGTGCTGGGTGAGAACCTGGGAGCCCAGGAAGGGGTGGCCCCCAGCCTTAAGAGGAGCCCCCGGCACATCAGTAGTGTCCAGTGATATTTGTTCTCGGTTTTTAAGTCTCTTGCTCATAGGTATCCAACTCTAATGACCACAGTGCAGCATGATGGGTATTTTTATGCAGGGGTTACCAAAGCTTAGCTTATACAAATGGGAGGAACCTGAATGCTCACTGGGGGCTTGTGAGGCCATCTCAATTCATGTGATTGTCTCTGTGGAGAGTCGCGTCCAGCAAGCCTGCTGCCAGCAAACTCTAAACTGATGCTTAAGTGGCTGAAGGTCTCATCTTTTGAAAATAAAAGCCAGCGGGCTACAATTATTGCCAAAACACCCCAGGACGCTCAGACATGCAAAAGACTGAGATGGCCTATTGTCCTGGACATTTTCATCAAATTTATTGTACTGAAGACTTTAAAGTAATTAGGTTTACACATCTGGCCAAGAATTTGCCTTCCAGCCTTATTTGAACAATGTGGGAGTTTGCTTGAATCGTACGATATGACCCTGACTGCGCTGCCCCCTGCAGTACTAGAAACCAGGGAAGGTCTTCTGACTGCCTCCACTCTAGGTCTGATGGAGTTTTGTTCAGGTGTCAGACATCTCTGAACGTTGTGTAGTGTATTTCTCACTAGAGCAGAAAGTCTTTTTTTTTTTTTTTTAGTCAGCAGTTCCCCTTGAGCAGCCCCTTGGGAACTTGTAATAATGTGAATCTTTTGTTTCATGATAAACATTTTGAAGCAGATAAGGTTTTCCTTCATTTTATTTTTTCACTGGAATCCATGCTATGTGAGAATCAGGGGGGAATTGAGACCTTCTGGGAGAATAGGCAATGCACATCCAAATGAAGAAGAGTCACCAGATGTGTGCTGATCTTAAAGTTGGTTTCATCTTTGAGATTCCTAAACCAGGAAGTTTCTTTCAAGTCCCTGGAGACAGACATGGCTAGGGGGGCTGTATCTCACCAGGCACCAGACAAAGGGGTCTGGGTTGTTGTCCCAGGAAGAAAGGGAAGGCCAAACTGAAAGGCCCCCAAGAACAACGTCTGGCAGAGCATCATTAATAGCTTGGCTACGATGGGCAGAGGATAAAAAGGAATTAAAGAACATCCGTTCTCAAATGCTTGGCTCCAATAAGTCGCTGGTGCAAATATAGATAGGAAAGTCTGTTTCTATTCTCCTACTTCTTTTTCTCTTTCTTGAGACCAACTTCTGAAAGCATTGAAAAAGACGAGAGAGAAAAGCCCAGCAAGAGTGATTTCAGTGCTGCCGGATGAGTCACTGGGTGTGGCTGTCCACTTGCACAGTATGAGCTAAGCAACGAGCCCAGGAGCAGATGAAGTAAAACCGTGCCCTTGTTATCTGCTTTGTGCTTATTTTTTCTTAAGGCTTAAAGAAAAGACAGATATGCCATTATTTACATTCTTACCTGTATTAGGATATACTTTCTCCTTCTGTCCTAAGGGAATGGGACAGGGGTGGGGAGTGGGAGACCAATCCGTTTACCCATCTTGCCCTCCAATGACACCAGCAGATGTCAACAGAGCAGAATACATAGATATGAAGTCAAAGTAATCCAGTCCTGCTTCAGACATTGGCATATATACGTGTTGATATGTATGTAATTTTTATTATATGTAATATATATATATATATGTTACCAGAAATGGGACATTTTCTGTTTTTACTTTACATATTTTTTAAAAGCCTCTTTGTTATTTAATGTGTGCTGAGCTCCACAGAGTTTTGTTTCTTTTCATGGCCAGTCTGAGGCAAACTATCCAGCAAGCAGAGACTGAATTTGGATGAGCAGAAGGTTTGAATCGCAGCTTGTGATCAGAGATTCTTTCCTCGGTGTCCTCATCTGTAAAATGGGGGAATAAGGGCAATTATCTCACAGTGTCTTTGGGAAGAATAAATTAGAGCGAGGGCCTGGAATGTGGCCCGGGCTGGGTGCACGCTAACTTTGCGTGTGGAGTGCGGTTTGGCCTTCGAGCCCAGTGTCCAGTCCTGGAGCTGATCCTTCCCTATCTTGCAGTTCTCCACAGTAGAGCTGGGTCTCGCTGAAATATTTGATTCCAGATCCTCACTTTTGGGGGTGCTATTGTCAATTATATTGACATTTTATTAAGACTGTCTAGCTGTTTTCTGATTCTTTTGGAGATGCAGAGAGCATTTGCCATTGAAAAAATTTATCTCTCAGGTTTTTATTTTTTTTGTTTGTGTGCCCTATGCATTAGGGACATGTAATCAGAGAAAGTGTGCATTAAAGTTCTTTATGGTAGGGCCTGTGGGCAAAGATTGAATCTATTTACCAATGAGCCATGTTTTTATAAGAGTAAATGTAGAAGTTATGTTTTACAACACTAAAGTCAGGAATGGGCACAGGCGCGCGCGCACACACACACACATACACACACACACACACACACACACCCCGGAATCTGTCCCCACACCATCCCATGTCATTCAAGTACTTTGCTTTCAAGGCCACAGGAGCTGGAGATTGCTCCGTGAGTCACCCCTTTTGTGTCTGTCTCTTTGCAGGAACACATTGCGAATTGTACAAGGATCCCTGCGCCAATGTCAGCTGTCTGAACGGAGGTACCTGTGACACCGAAGGTCTGAATGGCACCTGTGTCTGTGCACCAGGCTTCACAGGCAAGTGATCCATGCACTGGGTCTTCAAATTTACCACCAAGTCCCCGATATTGCCGAGGCTAAGATAGCTCCAAATCCTCCTCGCATAAATGATTGCAGATAGGCATACAATTGCAAAATGTGGAGGTAGTACTTGCGTGAAGATCTATTTTAAAACAATCAACTGTGTGTCATTAAATGAGGCTCTACTGAAATGAGGATTTGGTGCTTAGATTTGCTGAAAGTGTCATTGCAATGCATTTTCAGAGCTATAGCTTTGAAACATGAGAAATGAGCCGTTACATGAACACCTGAGAGTGTGCGTGTGAATGCAGGTCAGGAAGGAAGGAGAGTGTCTTCCATTGAAACTGCATTCAGCTACTACATTTCTTTTTATTGAATGACATAAAAGTAACAGAATTTTGAAAAGTGAAGAAAATTGGTGGTGGGGGAAGTTAGGAAGGCCGTCCAGGTTGCGGGTCTGTTGCTGGCATGGGTACTGACGCTGCTGGAGAGGGTCAGGAGGAGTGGGCTGGGAGAGTGGGTGGGGGCTGGGGGGCTGGTTCCCAGCAGCCTTAACGGCCACTGAACCATGTCAGGAAGTCACTTCTCAATTGTGGTATGCAGCCTAGCCTTGGGATCTTTCTTCAAAGCCACCACTTCCATGAACTTCGAGGAGTTTGTGAATCTCCAAAAGTGGATGTGAGTGTTCTATGGATGTGTCTGCCGAGGAGAGGTTCTTAACATTTCATCAGATTCTCAGAGGAACTCCAAAACCAGCAGTTCTGTTTTTCTAACAGACCCAGGAGTCCTGAAATTTAAAGAGCAGGACAAAGTCTGTGTTCTCTGGACTTTGCTTAACCAGCAAGGGCATAGGGTCACTCTGGCCTGCAGGTTGAGAGAAGCCGGCTCACAGGTGCCCCTGGAAGAGTAGGCAGGGAAGCCACTAGAAACATGAGAGCCCCTTGCTGGCCTGTCCCCTGCTGAGCCACTGTGGCCTCCAAACCCTGGAGCAGTTTGCAGGGCCTCCTCCTTCTCCACCCCTGGGGAGCCTCATCTGTGCCCCCTGTAGGGTGCCAACAGCCACCAGGTGGAAGAAGCACCTTCTGATCTTCTCTCTATTTGTCTGAGCAGTGCTCTGTTTTTCTTTTTATTTTTCTGGGATTGAGAAATGGGCTTATTCCAGAAAACGATTTGCAGATGGTCTTGTTTTCCTGAATGGTTTAAAAACACACAGAGACATTTATGTATCGGTCAGGGAGGTAAAATTAATACTGGGAAAGTATTCTGTTTTTTTTTTTCAAATATTTTTATTCTACCAGTAATAAAAGGCATGGGAGAAAAAAATAGAAAACACAGGGCTATTGAAAAATCCATCACTTTAAACTGCACTACAAGGAAATTATTAACATTTTGATAATTTTGATATCCTGGGATTGTTCCCAGAGGTCTAGGTGTAGAGCAGACAGTAAATAGTGTGTATTCATGAACTCTGGAGCATGAAAGGGATCAAACTGCCCATTACTAATATGTAACCCATTTTTCGCTTAAAATATATCTATTCCACGTGTTTCCACATCAAGAAATATGCTTCTGTGTAACATTTGTACTGGTTGGTTGTAGATCCTTGTATGAAATATCATGACTTTTTTGTTATCTACCCACAGTGTGACCTTTCCGTCTTGTAAACAACATCGACAGGGATATTCTTAGACATCTTGTGCACTTATTACTTCTTGGTATAATTTCCGCAAAACATAATCTCAGAATCAAGGAGAACACATACCTGATCTCCACGTTATTCTCCAGGAAAACAAAACAGTAACAAGAGAAAAACAAGAATTAACATGGTGCCGACATCCACTCCTCGGCGAGTGGCAGAAGTATTTACTTCGTCATTTGACACAGATACTCCAGAACCCTCATCTGGCTGGCAGCAGTGCCATTTTAGCATTGTCTTAATTTGTGGGTCTTTGATTCCTTGGGAGGTTGGAAACTTTTCAAGGTATTTCTTGTCATTGGTGCTTCTTCTCTTAGGAGCCCTCTATTTGTGCGTTCTGTCTGCTGTTCGGCCAGACCTTTCATGCTAATCTTTATTCTTCTTGATTTGAAGTAGCCCTTTGTGTGAAGTATATTATGTTTTATCTGACAAGGTCATAAATATTTTTCCACTGTGTTTATTTTTTAAATGTGTATAAAGTGTCTTATTTTGTACACATGCATTTTCATTTTATACACTCTATCTTGATATTTTCTTTTGTTGTCATTTCATGAAAGATTCTATCAATCAAGACTACACATATCCTCCTATATCATTATAATCATGTGTGAGTTTATTTTGTGCCTTTACATCTTGATTCCATCTGAAATTTATTTCAGTATCTTTGGGGAGAGAAATTATAACCTTTTCTCTAGAATTTTTAGCCAATCCCCAATTGCCTACTCAGCACACACTCTGGGGCATCTCAGACACCTCAAATCATAGATTCTCTGCTTCCTTCTTTAAATATTTGCTAGCTTATTAAATGTTGTTACTACTACCTCCAAGTTGTGCTGGCCAGAAACTGGGGAATCATCCTGACACCCCCTCTTCTTCCTTTTGACATGCATTCAGATACAAAGGACTCCACAAACTTCTCCCTTGGCTGCCTTTGCTTCCTGCACCCCTTCCAACAGCCCCCGCACCCATGCACCTATCCCAGTCCATTTTCCACACTGTAGCCATGTCTCCAACTGTGTTCCATCACCATGTGGCTCATTCTAGCCTTCTCCCTATGCATTCAGAGACTGTACATATTGTTACTCTACTCTGCCCACTCCCTTTTGACATTTGATTGTCCTTCAAAAATAAGTTCAGCGTCCTTGCGCTGATCATTGAGACCTGGGAGATGTGCTCCCATCTAGCCTTTCCATCCTTGTCCTGGTTCCTCTGCCTGCCAGAGCCCCGAACACACCTCACGGGGCCCTTCTCAGTAATTTCTTTCCTGTCTCTGCTCTCCAATCACTTCTGCTCACCTTCCACCCTGGCCTCCACTGCACCCATATGCACTCAGCCAGCAGGCCCACCCCTGGGCATTTCTTCATGGTCCCCCCTCCCCTGATCATAGGGAGCAGGAGGACTCACTGAAGTAGGTTCAGACAACACTCTGCCTGGTTTTTGAAAGCAACACATGCCGATCTATTCAGCCCTGGTACGTTTCCAGCTTGCAGAAGACCACAGAACAGTTACAGAAGTAGTTTGGGGAATTGTGCTGCTAATGTGTTTTACAGAACCAGTCCCAGGAGATACGCTGTGGAAAAAAGGTTCTGTGTCCAAATAAATTTGAGACGTGATACGTGCCACATAGAAATTCCTAAAGGATGCTCAAATTCTGAGGGCTCTGAGCAATCTCAATCGCGAGTCTTATCTACCTTTGTTTATTTTCTGAATAGATTAAATCATAAAACCATTTTTCTTCCTTAAAAAAGAAATCTTTTGTGTCCTGATAACTATTGCTGCATGGGAGAGGTTGATAAAATATTAACTCCTTCAATGTAAGGAACATAGTTGCCCCTGTTGTTGGAGGTTGCTGCCTAGGAACCAAATAATTTTTCACTGCACTAAGGGTTTAGCAGAACTTACACTTGGTCAACTATTTAGTGTTTGAGAGCTCCCAAACTGATGTAATGGAATGAATTAGGCAAACCATTGTTATTTAATTAAATAAGACTCTCTCCTTTGGATCCAGATCCTTCAATCTCAGGCCAGCAGGCAAACCCTGGTGTGTGCTATGTGGAGGACAATTTTTTTCTTTTTCTTGTTGATCTTGGGCTTCTGATTGAAAATATATTCCCTCTAATGCTCAGAACCCATGTTCCTACCATAAGGATCATCGCCTGGAGGTCCTTCCTGCTTCCAGTTATTAACTTACCTGTGTCCACTCTGGTCTCCAAGGCTCTGCCATTCTGATAGGCATGTGGTCACAGCTCATTATGGTTTTACTTTCAATTTCTGTCATGATGAATGATGGGGGGTGTCTTTTCATGTGCTTATTTTGACGTCTGATATCCTTTTGGGTAAATGCTCTCTTGCCTTGTCCGTTTGCCAACCCCCTCACATTATAAAGGCTGCATACCGTCAAGGTGACTTGTGACCATCACTGTCGACCTTGATCACCCTGCTGAGGGAGGTTGTCAGGTTTCCCAGTTTCCCACTCTAGTGTCCCTCGTTTCCTCCTTTCCATACTTTCCTCTTTGGAAAGAAGTCACGTGTGTAGCCCACTGTTAACCAGGGCAGGGTCCAGGTTATGTTCCCTCTCTTTGAGAGGGCAGCAGCTGCAGAAACCATTTAGAATTTTTCTTTGTGAGAGATCTGTTTATTCTCTTTCATTTGTTTATTTAGTCAATCATTTATTTATATTAATAGGGACTCATGGGTGTTTATTTTATACTTTGGGTTAAAATCTAATACTTTTTAATTTGTTTTGTTGCTCAGAATATTCCTGCTTTGGAAATTGGGAGGTCTTTTAGTCTGGTTCCTGTGTTCCTTTGATATAGCCCCGTTATTGGGGGGTGGGTAATTGTTGCTGTCATTTATTTCTTTCAGTTTTTTCTTTTTTCCTTTTTGGCACCAGGGATTGAACTCAGGGGCAGTTCAGCACTGAGCCACATCTTTTTTATTTTGAGACAAGGTCTTGCTAAGTTAGGGCCTCATTAAGTTGCTGAGGCTGGCTTTGAATAGGCGATCATCATGCCTCAGCCTCCTGAATTGTCTTTGATTATTATTTTTTTGTATACTTTCTGGAACTCAAGTTGCTCCAATCTCATCCTGTGTATTTCCTGCCCCAGTCCTAGAGAATTACCCATTTCTCTCTCTCACTCCCTTTCTCCCTCCCTTTCTCTCTCTCTCTCTCTCTTTTTTTTTTTTTTTTTTTTGTGGTGCTGGGGATTGAACCCAGGGCTTTGTGCATGTGAGGTAAGCACTTTACCAATTGAGCTACATTCCCAGGCTTAGAATTACCAATTTCTCTAAGGATCCCTGGTTCATTATTAGAGAATGACTTTAGAAATAAAGATATGAGCACTAACATGCTCACTACTGCTGGGGTGTCATTACTCTCAGGCCCTCTCAGCTGATAGAGCAACAAAGAATATGAGTTTACTAACCTACACACACGTGCACATCTATGAATATTGCACTCTGTAGCCATCCATACCTACAGTAAGCCAAGCATGAGTTCATAGGGATGTTTCCAACTCTATTCCATCCCCTCATGGATCATTTAGCTGTCTCCTCTGCTATTTGAATGTTCCCACTACAATGGCCATAGACCTGGCTCCCACCCTCAAATATCCATTTACTTAATTGGTCAATTCCAATATGCACAGATAGCCGTTTCAAAATCGTTAACCTGCGTCCAGCTCACTCTCATTGAGTCTAACCAGTGCTACTCACTCTGCTACTGAGGTCAGCACCTCCCCACAGCATTTGTTATATAGTTCCATTCTTTTTCCACAGATATATCCTTTCCTGGGGTCTTCTAACAGGAAGTTCACTTTTCTTTGCCTAGAGAAGTACACTTTCTTAAACAACTATTTGTTAAAAAGGCCATGTTTTCTTCCTTTAATTGCTTTTGAACCTTCATCAAAAACAGTCGGCCATTTTTATGGGGGTCTATTTGGTGTTCTCCATTTTTTTCATCGACTTGTATGTCTATTCGTCTGCAATGCAGCTCAGCCTTGGCTACATAAAAGCTCTTGTGGCTACATAGCTATTAAAATTGGACAGAATGTTTTCTAGGACTTTATTCCTTTTTTAGTTCCATTTTTTTTCCTGCGTTCTTTGGATGCTGGTCATTGTGGGTTAATTGTTGGGTGCAGCAATTCCATTGTCTTTTTTCTTTTAAATGCTGGTCTTTCTCTGTGGCAGGTAAGTTATTTGCCAGCCTGGTCGGTCTTTCAAGGCTTGTTTTTATATTCTGGGGAGGTGATTCCAAATGCATAGCCTTTACTCTTAGGACAGTTATGCCCTCGCACTAAGAGGTGACTTTTGTGGCTTCATTGATGCAGTGGGTGGCCGATGAACTGTGAGATTTTGGATACTTTCCAGTCCTCTGTGAGTTTGGAAACTGCTCATCTTCCATTTTGTTTGCCAGGCTCCTGGAGTTTCAACTCACGCACAGTATTCAGCAAGGGACCCAAGGGACACAGCATATTTCTGGTGCTCTTTTTCTGAGTGGCTCTATCTTCTGTATTTGGTCTTCCCTACAAATTACCTTGGCCTCCACAAACTCCAGTCTTTGTCTCCTCAATTCAATGAGGCCGTTGTGTTCTAAATTGGCCCCAGGCAGAGGTCCAGGCTGTGTGGAGCTCAGCTGCTTCATTTCCTCCCCTGCAGCTGAAGTCCGGCTCTTAAACGTGGTTTTATTTTGCATGTATTTCATCCAGTTGTCTAGTTGTTCACCGTGGGAGGACAGGACAGGTTCCGGTTACTCCATCACGATAGCAAAAGTTCCAAATAATTTTTTTAGACCCGTCTCATCTGGAATAAAATTCTCATGAAGTAGGAAGGGATCAGAGTTGAGGCATCGAGCCCAGGTGTGGCACGGGGCAGCCGAAGTGTGCAAACACTAGGGTGATGGCCGTCAATACCGTCCAGTGTGGATTCTGTTAACCCAAGGATTTACAGCTGCGGTGACTGGATTTGTTTTGTTTTGTTTTGCATTTCCTCATTTATCTGGGGAAGGCCTATGGGATTAATTAGGAGGCTTGTTGACTTGCATAAGGGCTACCAAACATACCTACTATGCATATTGCCCCTTAGAAAGTAGTCAGTTGAAAAGAAATTATAACCCATTTGGAGGTCAGACCCTGGTTGCCAGTCCCAGTCAAGTGGAAATTTATTTGGTGCCAGGAGTGGTGGTGCATGCCTGTGATCCCAGGGACTCAGGAGGCTGAGGCAGGAGGATCCCATCAACTTAACAAGGGCCATCCTCAGCAACTTAACAAGGGCCCCAGCAACTTAGTGCTTAGTGAGACCCTGTCTCTAAAAAAAGAAGAAGGAGAAAAGGATGGGACTGTAACTCAGTGGTAAAATGTCCCTGGGTTCCCTCCCTAGTATCTCAAAAAGAAAAAAAAAAATCGTTTGGTAACTCTCTTCACAAATGCTATTTAAGAATAATCGTGATTTAAGAGCAACTGATATTTCTCTAACTCAATTAAAAAAAAAAAAAAGAGTGAGTGAGCTGAAAAGTTGACTGTTTCTGGCCAGCAGAGGCCTGAGGGTGTACCAAGTTAGCTGTTAGTAAGGAACCTCGTGCCCAGCACTAAGAATTCTCCTACTAAAATAAGCTACAATGCAAATTAATTAGTACTGGAACGTCAGGGTGTGTCAGGGTCTTAAATGCATATGAAAACATAACGCTTTTAAATATGAGGAAATGTAAGTAAAGCCAGACTTGTTTCCCATAATTCACAATAAACCTCCAAGCGTTTTGTGTCAATTGATGGCAAAAAGCATGATCACCGTAGTGGAGGGCAGCGGTCCTCTGTGAGGTCTCCTGGATGGAAACCCCCTTGGTGGCCCCACTGACAGTCACCCCATCTCCTTCCCATGCTCCACATCACCTCGATTCCAGCCCAGGACATGGTGAAGGCCCCAGGCTGAGAGCTGGGGGAACAGATTCAGCTTGCGGGGCAGGAGAGCCGTCTGCTGACCAGGCCATTGGGGGACAGGTGGAGGCACCCAGGACCCAGGCCACTGCCAGCACTCATGCTGCATCAGGAGCTGCCCACTGACCTGCCTGGCGTGAAGATTACATGGTTAAGTTACGACGTTTCATTCCAAGTGCATCTCTAAGAACACGTGGCGGTGAAAAGCAGCCTAACATCAGTTTGACGTTCTCTCTGGGCCCCGATTCTTGAGATCATGGTTTGTAGATATTTCCCCCCCTTTTTTATCAACTCTTTCTAATCTGGTGGGTCCCAAGAACAGTCCACTTTAGGGATCTTGGACTTCTGCCTATATCAGAGGCCCTTAGTGATCCAGATCTGCCCTGAATTTGGCCTTCACCTCTGTGGAGGAGCTTTGGACCAGAGCAGGTTGGACAGACTGAAGCCACAGCTGTGCAGGTGCACTGCTTTTAGGGAATTAGACGGGTGTGATGTTGCAGTAGACCTTATGGGGCGGGGGGACTTTTGAGTTTTGTCAGCCTACCAAGGTAGGAAAAATGAGGCTCTTGCTGTGTTGGGAACCGAGCAAATCATTTCAGTATCTGCAGTGTTCAGATTTCCAGCTAAAGAAGGCCATGTTCGGTGAATGCATTGATTAACTTGTCTGCCTAAGCAGCCTGGATGTAGTCCTGATGAATTTATCCATCAAGGTCTTTGATTTCATCCTTTAGCATTTCTCAGCACATTCCTGTTTATTGTCCCCTCGACTAGTCTGCCCTGCAGGGCCATTTGTAACAGTTTAGTCTCTTTCCTTTCCCACTCAGAGCGATTGCCCTATTAATACAAAGACAAACTTTGAAATAGGTTAGCAAGAAGCAATCAATTTCACGTCCTTTCTATTGAAATCAATGACTATATTTATTGCAAGAAACAAATTCATTTAGACACTGCCAAATTATAGTCACCCTAGTATGACCTAAACATAATAAATGTTTCATTCGACAGATTTTACTTCAAAAATGAAGTAGTCAGGTGCCAGGTACATAAAGACTATGAAAATGAAACAGTTGTGAAATATTTTAGTGTGAGATTCTTCCTCTAAAATCATCTGTGAGTGACAGAGTAGTCTTATAGATGTGAAGTAAACCAATAGCAGATAGAAAAGCAATTTAATGTCATATAAGCCTGGAAGTAATTACCTGAATGTACTGAAATATTGTCTCTTAAAAAATGGACAAAAATCTTTGATTTTGCTCTTATTAATCTCTGACTGTAGCAGTGGTAGGAGTTTCATTTTTTCATCCCATTCTGCATTTAAGCAAACGAGGCCTTATTTTAGAAATTTCTTTTTTTCATTTTCAAACTTTTACGAGAGAATGTCTCAATTTGAAGTATCCTTTTCAGTTCTGATGAGCTGCCTTTATATATAAGAAGCATATTCAATTCATATGGGCTCATCATGATGGCTGTAAAATCACTCGAAGGTGGCTTTGTTCATATCACTTTTGGTAACAAGCTATTCCCTGTAAATTGATGTTTGGCTCAGAGTGACATTGGCCCCAGGTCCTGGTTTGTAACTTTATCCCTGGTTTTCTGAGGCCAGTAAGGCTACCCGGAAAGTCTGGGTCTAGTCAGGGTCAGAAAGAAAGTCAGGCACTTTTCTTTACGGGGGAGGACAGACTGGAGGGTTTTGTGAGCTTCCTTTGGGCTGCCATTTCTTAGAAAAGACAATGGGCTAACCCCAACTTCATGATTGTCTCTCCTGAGCTGGACCTGCTGCTCTCCAATCTGCATGTCCTCCAGGCAGATCTAGGGATCTGGAAAGTAGAGGAAATTTTATTAGTTGACTCAGGCTAGGCACACAGCTGTGACCAGAAGAGTCAGTGTCCAGTCTGTACACTCAAACACTTGGCTACAAAATTATCATAAACAGTGAGTTTTTGCCTTTCTGGGGTTTTGGAAAAATAAATAAGACTCAGCTGCCAAAATTCAAAACAAAATAGACTTCCTTAATAAATTCAGGAACCTAAGTTTGCTTTTCTAATCAACCTTGAAGGGCTTATTCAGACTTGGGAATCATCTTCTGTTAACTAGTTAATGGAATAAAGGAGAAATTCTTCTCATCAGTGATAATATATATATTTTTTCTTTTTTAGTTTTGCTTAAATAAAAGATCCCTTGTCTGGAATTTTTGAGAGTTTACACAAAGAGCAGGTTGGGCTCTGCTGCTGGAGGTCATGGTCAGCTGTAAGTCTTGGTTTTGCCTGAGAAGTCTTGGGAGCTGTGAATGCAACCAGTTCATTGCCGTTTTCCTTATCTCCCCAGGTGAAGAGTGTGACATTGACATAAATGAATGTGACAGCAACCCTTGTCATCATGCTGGAACCTGCCTGGACCAGCCCAATGGTTATATCTGCCATTGCCCTCACGGCTGGGTGGGAGCCAACTGTGAAATCCGTAAGTATTTCTGCAGCAAGAGGATGCCAACTGGGACCAGAAAGTCCCTGTGTCACCAACGAGCAGCAAGGCCCTGAAGGACAAGTTACCCTGAGTTACCCGTGAATCCTAAGTCCCAGCCTCATGCTTTTGCCACTCTTCCCCCCCCCCCCCCCCAGGTTATGCTGTCCTCACTCCTTCCTGAGTCCCATCCAGCCTTTCCATCAGGATGAGAATTTTCAGATGTCATCCAGAGTTCACTGCTACTCAGGCAGCCAAAAATGTGCTTGAGAGAAGCATTAGAATCATATCAAAAACTAGAGTCTCTGGGTTGAAAAATGTAAGAAGCAACACAGAATGTAAATTCACTTTGCACTTAGGTCTCCAAGAAGTGTCTTCGAATGTATGAGGTTCCATCAGTTGCCTAGAGAAAAGTCCAGTGAGGGCAACCACAAAAGCTGAAGAGCACTGGGGGCTGCCTCAAGCCCAGTGCAGTGTGTGGGTGACTAGCAGAAGTGTGACAATGTCAGGATCAAGGTTTGAGATGTTGAAACAACAGATGCACAGCATGGAGGCGAAAATGAGCACAGATGTGGAATTGTGTTTCCAGTTGTTTTAGATAACGTCTCAAAATTCAGCGTTGACAGGTATTTTGTTCTTATCTGAACTAGGGGAGTTTGACCCTCTATGGTGGAAGAAATCCAACCACGCTGGTTGGAGGACGCGTCCTTCCCATTCCAGATGCTTCTCTTCACACGAGGGATGTTGGGTTAGCTCTCCTTCTGGACCCTCTCACCCACTTTTGCTTCTTGACAGATAATAATAACTTATCAGCTGTGCAAATTTGGAGGGAGGCAGGACCCTTAGCCCCATCTGTCTGTGAGCTGCCTAGAGCCTCTGCTCTCTGTGCCGTAGTGTCACAGGCTTAGGTCCCTCGCCAGTGGTCCAGCACCACCCACAGCTGCAGCATGGTGTCTAACTCGGAATGTCAGAGGGAGGAGGTATCCAGTATTAGGGAACTCTCTCATCCAGAAATGTGAAGCACATCCTCCACCATCAGCGTGAGTGGTAACAAATGTAATATTTGGCCCCTCATCTGCTTACTCTTTGTCTTTCCTCTTTGGTTCATAGCATGAGAAGGAACAGGGACTCTTCCCAGATGTTCCTATACAGAAGGACTTAGGACCAGCTTTCCTTGTTAAACAAGGGTAAGAAATACTCCTGTGTGAAGATAGAGATTAGGTAGCATTTTCACCACTGGAATTCTTTTCTAACAACTGTAAGTTGGTATAAGACATTGAAGTTGAGTCTAGTGGGATCTGTTAGAAAGGGTTTTAGACTTGGGCCAGGGCCTTGGTCTTCACTCTGACTGTGGCGTTTACTGTGTGACTGCATCTAGGTATACCGAGCCTCCGTTTACTTCTCTGAAACACGGGGCCAGTTTTCATTCTAAAATTTGGTACTTCTACAAAATGAAAACTGTTGTGCCTTGGGGTAGAGTATTACCTATTTTTAATTTTTAAAATGGTATTTGTGGAGATAAATATATAAAAGTAGAATTAGAAAAGTCAGGAACATGTAGGATATCCTCAAAAAATATCTGAAGAAAAATTTATACAGGTATAGAAAAAAATTCTTAATTTTAGATCCCTTGAGTGATGACAATATAGGTAAAAGAGGCACAAAGATAGAGAAGGAAAGAGGATCAGGTTGGCTTCAAAATCCCGCTCCATCCTATTCTGGCCACATGATCTGGGCAAACAAACTGACCCTTCAGAACCTTACCTTCTCCCTTGTGGTTACATTGGGCCCACCCAAATAGACCAGGACACCTTCCCCATCTCAAGATGCCCAATTTAACCAATCTTCGGAATCCCTTTAGCCATAGAAAGTAACATATTCAAAGATTCTGGGGATTAGGACATGGACATATTTGGGGACCATTATTCTGTCTACCATACCACCTTATCAACAGACTCTCTTTCCTCCTATTTGTTCTTGAAAATGATCATATTTAGAGATTATTTGGGATCAATTTGACCTATAACAACATTGTCCTAATAATTTTGATAAGTATTTGCAAAAAAGTGATTATACTAATTGAAGGCAAGAATCTGAGTAGAATGAATGCTGCCCTGGCAGCCAGGGAGCTGGGTTCCAGGCCTGTATCTGCTGCTGCCTAACCAAGATTGTGCAAGGTCATTTCATCTCTCTGGAGCTCAGCTTCTCCTTCTATAAAACAAGGGATTAAAGGACATGGTTAATTTTCACACTTCCAGCTCTAGTATTACAGGCTTCACCCCCAACAATGTCACAGCATGCCAGGAAGCACAAGGACAAGGCAGAGCCTTCCGACTACCTTTTCCTGCACTGAACACCACTGAAGTTGAGTCTAGTGGGATCTGTTGGAAATAGTGGGATCTGTTGGAAATATAGTCTATTTGGGATACTATAACACTTACTGTCACATGGAACAAAAAGAAAAACTTCAGTATATAATATGGAATGCTCCCAGGAACCTAGGGTACGTGCATATCCTGAAAACAGAGATGTCTCTGTGAGGGGCTCTACATCTCTACATGTGGAGATGGATCAACTTTATCATTAGCCATCACTAGAGAGTCTGAACCCCCAGTAGGATTTAGACGCAAATGAATACCATTTTAGCTGTTGCACAGTTATCTCCTGTGTCCAGTGTTTGCCCAAGTAATGAGTGTTTCTTGGGAATTTGCCCATTTGGAGTTATTATTTGGTTCCCAATTAGAGTCAAAGCAGAAACCTAGCAGACTACAGAGTTATCAGATGCAACAAGAGAAGTGATCCAGGACCATCCTAATGCAATGAGTCTAGGCACTCTAGGGTTTTATGCATGCTCTGAGGCGTTTGTTCTGGACATCAGCAGAGCATCTTGGCAAACTTTTAATTCTCCTCCACTTCTTTTTATTACCTTGGGACTGATCACAGTGTTTTTCCTTTAGATTTTAGTAAAGGGAAAATATGCCTTCTTAGGACCAAGGTCAAAAAACAAAATAGACCCTATAAATCTTTACATAGTGGGTGTGTTTTGTACCATCTGTGTTGGGAGTATGATGTTTACCTATATCCGTCAACCTGGATAATTGGGGGTCAGCCAGTTCTGTACATTGAACAGTTGAATCTACAGATAAACATGAATTAATGCCATTCTGTGGTTGAAAAATAGGCAAGTGGGCTATCTTGTATATCTTTGTATACTCAGTCAGTAATCAAGAGCCTCCTTATTAGCAGGCCTTGCAGGTAGGGCCTGGGTTATAGAAAATTAATGAAAGGAACCTGCCTTCAGGAACTCCTAAGGGTGGGTAAGTCAGAGTGCATGATGGGCATCGCTGTGCAGCTTTGCACAGGTGCTTCTAGGCACCAGGGAGGGTCGGTGTAACTCCTCCCAGGCCAGAGAAAAAGTACAGGTGCACCTCTTGGGCCTCTTCCTCTCAAACAAATGACATCTAATGATAACAGCCCAAGACATCCAGGAGGCGATGTTACGTGGCACTCCTGGTTATGTGAATGGGTCCGGTCCTTTGGTTCTTTGGTTGTCCTTCTTATGTAAAAAAGGATGTAACATCTAACCTCCCCACCCAGATGTCCACCTCACTCCCCCAAAGTAACAGCTGCTGGCCATTCATGAGAGATTCTTCCAGAGGTAGTCAGGTGATGGAAGAGCCTCTGTTCTCTCCCACACTGATAGGAGTTTTCTGTGCACATCTCCAGCCTCTTGTTTTTGTTTTTAATAATGTATCTTGAAGGTTTATCCGGTTGGGTTATGCAGATTTATCACATCTTTACCACCACATGACAGTTCCATTTTGTAGAGGCTCCATAATTTATTTCATGATTTATTTAGACAGATGATCCATTCTGGCAATACTAGAATGAACATTTTTATAAATGCATCTGTCTTAGTCTGTTTGGGATACTATAACAAAATGCATTCGACTGAGCAATTTTATAAACAGAAATTTAGGACCCAAGGGTGACTTACAAACCCCATTTAATTCATAATTACTTTATTAAATACTTCGACCAGCAGGAAGGCATCCTCTACCTATTTCTCAGGGAATGGATGTGGCTGGATGTGGGGAAAGCAGCTTGATGGAATGGAAAGAAGGCTTGCTGGATTCTGTGGCTGAGAACTCAATTCTGTGAGTGGAGCTGGTTTCGAATCCTAGCTCAGGTACTGACTTACCAGGCATCCATAATTGGGGTAATAAATGTAGATAGTAGAGTATAATGCCTGGCACTTAGTAGGTGTTCAATAAATGGTTGCCTTCATTATAATCAGCTGTCATTCTCTTTGAACACCCAGCAGCCTTTGGGTGCCTGCTTAAAATGAGGTTTCCCTTCCCTGAGGAATATTGATATATTAGATGCTTTTGAGTTAATAGCTGCTAATTTTCTGTAAGTACAGAATGTTTTAGGATAATAGGCATCATGTAGGAAGATATATTATTGATATAATTAGACCTTGACTTTTCATTCCAAAGTAGATACATGTATCTTCTCCAGGAGGAGAATCTTTCCTTCTTCCCTGACCGAACAGTCAATCCTGGACAACACGGCCTGGGGAAAAGTTCTTCAGGCCTTTTGACTACAACCCACAGAGAGAAAGTATTTTGCATCTTGTTTCTAGATGTCACACACAGACTAACACAAACACAGAGAATGTAACACTCATTTTTATAAGTGTGTCACACTCTGAGATGGTCTTCTAAAGTAAAAAAAAAAAACAAGACATAAAATTTGTACATTTTTATGGGACACATTATGCTAATTCAGTACATGTATAGAAAGCATAATAATCAAGTCACGGTAATAAGCATTTCCAACTCCTCAAACATTAATCATGTTATGTGTTGGGAATTTTTTCTCTTCTAGTCAGTTTGAAATGTGTCCTAAGTTTTTAGCTAGTAGCTGCCCTCCTCTGCCACATGGAGGAAGCAGAACTAATCTGTTCTCATGTGTCCTGTGCCCCTTATTGAACTTCT